AGTTGTTCACACACTAAGTCACAACTTCCGTAACGCCACAAGTGTAGTGCGAACATCACTGAGATTGCCGCTTAAACCAGATTACGTGCTTTTGAAAATCATATATGCTGGGGTGAATGCTAGTGATGTAAGTTTGTTCATCTCATAATCATGTTGTACTTCATATGATACTGGTTATATGTGGATTTCGCAAAGATATGTAAAGTACTAAGTAGAAAATATATATTTTCTAAACAAGCATATTTTATTGAACCTTCTCAAATTTATTTAAAGATATTGTGAGCTTACGTAATTGATTAGACCTGTTCTAACATCATCAAAGCCAACTTAATTGTGTTGAGGAGTACATCTCATATCTCTTAAGCTTGATACGGTAATTGGTGAAAGCAATTTATTAACAGGTGAATTTTAGCTCTGGAAGGTATTTTAGTGGGGACAAGAAGGAAATTGAATCCAGGCTTCCTTTAGATGCTGGTTTTGAGGTAAGGAAATTCCTATCTTTGTGTCTTTTTATTAGGTTGATAAATTATCTGGTGAAGCTTTAGGTAAATAAATATTCTTCTCCGACATTTATGTGATGCAACTAGTCATGCTTTACAAGACAGAAATGTGCCATATATAATATCTTTTATGAACCTTTAAGGAACTTGCTCTGGTGTTCTCTATCTTCAGGGATATTTGTACCCTTTTTGTGTAAAGATTAAGATATCTTTCAATCTGATACATTTTTAATTTTCTTTTTGAATTCAACTTGGTTGTAGATAGCATCAAATCTTCTATGTCTACAATCTACATCAAATTAGGTTGTGCTAGTCATATTAGTCATTGCATTCCCGTGGAATTCTTCAATTTTTTCAGACATTACAAGTATATTGATTTTTCCCTAATAGCAAAAGAAAAAAAAAAAAAAAATATCATTTGGTGCTTACCTCCAATATCAGTTCACGACCATGGTTTGCTTTTTTCCCCTCTGTGCAGGGTGTTGGTATAATTGCTGCAATAGGTGATTCAGTTAAATATTTAAAAGTCGGCAGTCCTGCCGCAATCATGACATACGGAAGTTATGCTGAATACACGATGGTAAAACATTTGTTCGACTTTGATTATCATGATATTTATCTTTCCTCTTCGTTTGGGCGATTTTTCTCTTTCCTTTTTCTGTTTATTTTCTCTAAAATTCTTTTTGTTCTTTTAGGGTAATTACAAACATAGCTTCTCTTGTGATTAGGTACCCTCAAAGCACATCCTTCCCGTGGCAAGACCAGATCCAGAAGTCATTGCTATGCTCACATCTGGGCTAACAGCATCAATAGCTTTAGAAAAGGTGTTAGATATACATTTTTTTTCTCAGTTCTTGGCTTTTCCTTTTCCATTTACATATTCTTGCATTGGTATTATAATAACTTCCGGTTCTCTTGGTTTGGAAGTTGTAAATGCCTTCTCATTTGTTAACTTTGTAGGCAGCACATATGGACTCTGGGAAAACAGTTCTAGTCACTGCTGCTGCAGGGGGGACAGGGCAATTTGCAGTTCAGGTGCCATTGATGATGATGCAAAATCTTTTTCACTTAAACTTCTACCTGTTAGATATTGGCAGTAAAGCACAATGACCTTCTAATCAATTAGTATAAAACAATGTGAATTTTTATTGTCTGTTTTCTTTTATTCTTCTTCTATTATATGGAAGGGATATATCAGTGCTTGCAGAGTAAATGTGAACTGTAGTGCTGAAGCATTCTTATTTGAGTACCATGTTCCATGCCCTGTTTAAGAACACAAACTTGTTTGTTCTGCTATGAGTTTTTAGGACACAGGCGCCTTGCTTTATTTGTTTTATTTTGCTGTCATTTCTTTCTACTACATTCTTCTGAAATTGCATCTGCAACTACATACTGAGATCTAATGCATAATGGACTCTCTGAGTGCAGCTGGCAAAATTAGCTGGAAACAAGGTCATTGCAACATGTGGAGGAAAAGACAAGGCCAAGCTTTTGGAAGATTTGGGAGTGGATCGAGTCATCGATTACAAATCTGAAAATATCAAAACTGTAAGTTTTCATGGAAAATTATGGCCTCTCTCGATCTTTGTGCAGAACTGGCCAGGAGNAAGAGTGGGTTTAGCAACCGTAATGCGTGTCTTCTTCTTTTGGAGTGGGAATATTTGGTTTGACTTCTAATTAACTACTAGTTCTGATAGTTTCTGTTTAAGTGTAGGCCATCCCATATGAAACAACCACCAGTTTACCCAGAATAAAATTCTGTCCAAAATAGGTTTCAGCCATTCATCTCTTTTTTTCTCTGTTAATAGTTTCCTGTTAGTCAGATAAGGGAGTGGCATTTTAGTGCACTTAGAATATTTGGGATAAATGTGAAGTGATTTATATTTTTGGCTCATTATGCACTGTGAATAAGATTTTTTGACATAGTGAGGATATACCCCGTTCTATAACTGCCATGTAGCTGCAAAGTTTACAGTGTTTAACCCACGTTCCCTTAGTTCTCTTTAAATGTTCATCTGACATATTTTTATTATGCTTATCTTCCCAGGTTCTAAAGAATGAGTACCCCAAAGGTGTTGATATTGTATACGAGTCCGTTGGAGGTGATATGTTTGATCTATGCTTAAATGCGCTGGCAACATATGGACGTCTTGTTGTGATTGGGATGATTTCTCAGGTTTTGTAATATATGAAATGTGAAATTACTTCCCAGAAAAAAAGAAGCAAGCATTTTTCCCCCTCTCTGATTCTGTGTTGATATATTGCTAATAAAATTCGTGACTGCACTGCAGTATCAAGGAGAACATGGGTGGACCCCTCGAAATTATACTGGATTATGCGAAAAGATTCTGGCCAAGAGTCAGACCGTGGTAAGTGAGTCATATTTGCTTTTTTATTCAACCAATGGTTGAACTCCAATATTTGAATTGGTAGTCCCACATGGATTTGGGTGTATTCATTTGGGATGACTAAAGATTTTTTAAGACTTTAGACATCCCGGTGCATTTAATCTAGACTTTTTAAGATTTTTAAAAGTCTTGGAGTATTCATTTGGGATTTTAAAAAATCTTACAAAATCATGAGGTATTCAACCTTCTTTTTGTTAAAACTTTTTAATATTTGTTGGTATCTCTAAAGAAAAAAACTTATAGGAAATCCCACTCAAAATCTCACCAGACTTGAGATTTCACAGGATTCCTCCAAAATTGGAAATCTTAAAAAGTCACAAATCTGAAAAAATCTCAAAATGTCACTTGAAATTTCAAACGAATACACCCCCCTTAGGATAAAGTGATGAGTGCTTTTCTTGGCGAGTGTACTTATTCTCGTGGGTTTTGTTGATTCAACTCCTAAAAGCTTTGCCTGTTGCTATGTCTGTTGAAGGGATATGAAATGTTGAATCCTTGGTCCATTAGATTCATTTTGT